CGCTAACTTTGCGAGAGCATAATTCCGTAAGTTTTCTATCAAATTTCAAACTTTTGGTGTCTTTATGATCGGGAAAAGATTCTCTATCTTTTCATAAGAGAAAATAATTTTTTTTTTTTTAAATTTGGCCGACCCTGAGAACGAGTTTCGGAGAGGGCCTGTCGACCCTCAAAGGGTTAAGGAGATGCTTGTCTCGGAGATTCTTGTAGGTTTAGATATTGCTGGTAGCAACAGGCAGTTACTCATTATACTCAATATACAGAGAAGAATAAGTAATCTCTGAAATGCCATGGAATATATTTAGGAAAACAAGTATGCTCAAAATTCAGAGAAGGAAGGATACCAAGAAATAAGATGAAAGGATCAAGTGGATGAAAAACATGGCAGTACAAATAATATGAAGATGAGTATATAATGGTATTTCTAGAGGGTACTTTGTGTTTACCACCATGGATAATGAGCAGATCAAGATATTAACAATTATTTGTTGGAGGCAAGCTCAGCTCAACACTTACCTTCTCTTCTCTCGGATAATGTGAGCCACACTGGCACACAATGATACCACACCATGCCTGGCACTTGCTACTACAACAGAGACTGCTGCAGACACTGCAGCCTCCCTCTCCTGGGCCACTGATGAATCTATAAAACAATGCTATACTTCACAAATATAATTTAAGTTAGGTCACCTAACAGCAGTGTCACAATGTGGGTAGGGCAATTCACTGGTTGTAGGGTAGAAAATAATTTTTTTTTATAAAATAATACCTAAAGACTTTCAATTTAAAGGCCAACATCATATAAAAAACTGGTGTAATTTCTGCAGACATAAGTACACTGAAAATTGTGAACAGTTTAGCTGAGGGGCAAAATTAGAAAAGTTGATTTAGAAAGAAAAAATAGATCTTAGGTTTGGAAATAAAGCTCACAATGATGGTGTTGACTAGTCTATGGTCTTGCAAATGAAATCTCCCACTGTAAAACAAAGCTTACAAAGTTCACTTCTAAAAATGCTATAAATAACCTACTTAATTACTTTTCTTGTAAGGAATATACAGTATACTGTTAATCTACAATTGCAAGTCTGATGTATATTCTCTGAAAATAAAGTTCAGTAAATTGACTTAGGTGCAAATACTCAGTCTTGGATGATTGTAATTGTCTTAATAAGTTTATTTAGGCACAGGTACACAAAAGTACAATTATCATACATGTGTAAATTACCTAGGATAACTCAAGTCACACAAAGTGACTTATTTCCATTGGGGTCTTTATACAGTATCATGTGTGTAAATTTAAGTGTCCTGTAGCTCAATTGCTAGCACACTCAGCTCACACACTGAGGCCTGGGGGGTTCAATCCCCAAAATGGGTGGAAACATTAAGACGTGTTTCCTTAAGACACCTGCTGTCCATGTTCACCTATCAGTAAAATAGGTACCTGGATATTAGACGTAATTTGCCAGGAATGCTCTGCATAACAAGGGACTTTCTATATAGCAGTATGTTTTTGATGTCAACCTGGCTTGTATATCTTGTGCATGTACTTGTGGAAATAAATATCATTATTATTTTTTTTTTTTCTTTTGGGTGGAAGACATTTCAAGGACCCCAATGGAAATAAACCAGTTTGTCTGACTTTTCTGGGTTATCCAAGGTAATCTACACATACGCTATGCATGAGAATTTATATAACTGTATTTATGTATACCTGTACCTGAATAAACTTACCTAGTAAGTTTATTTAGATACAGGTACACACAAGTACAATTATCATACATAATAAGATATGTGTAAATTACCTAAGACAACCAAAAAAGTCAAGGTGACTTATTTCCATTGGGGTTAACCCAAGGTATATTACGCATTTCTATTAGGGGTGATTATTCTTTTGGTTATATTTATAAGTTGTATAGTGCAAAATTAGGTTTAATTTAAGGAAGGGGGTGACAAGTTCCCTTCCTTGGATGAAGAGCCCCTTGCCAGCTTGAAGGAGCCTCCCTGAAGGGGATCATTAAGGGTGAGAGAAGAGGCAAGACCTACCCTTAATGTGGTGTGGGTTGTGAGGGAACTCATTAACAAACTCTAGCTCATCAGTGGGCCAGATGCTGGATGTGTCTGATGACCTGTCATCTCCCATGACTTCCGGATAACATTTCCGAGATGGAGAGCTGCACGTCGTTTATCTTATCTTCTTTTTTCCTCGTATTCTGCCCTTCCACAACTTTTGAAGATAATGAAGTGTTTGTTTGCGGAAACTTCCAAGAGCTGAAACAATTAGCCAATTGGCGTGAAAGATTGATTTAGTTCTTGATTCTTATTGGCTGAGAGGCAGTAATAGTGAGCAATGTGTCTCTCTCAGTACTGACCACCTGTTGATACATCAGCTAATAGTAATTGAGCTCTTCACACATACACACTTGTGATTGGTTAAACCAATAACCAAAACATTATCTGACAATGTGTTATTTATGAAATGTTACTTAAATTCAGAAGTCTTGAATTATAGTTTATTTTTTTATAACGTACTTTACAATTTTTTTGCAGTGCTTGCTGAAAACATATATGTAAACATTTAGACTTGATTAAACAGTTTCGTTTTATTTATTTTATGTCATCTTTTACATTATTAGTATTTCCTTTATAAATCAATAATATTTTGTGAAAATAGTAATACAATAGAGTTAAAGATTTTATATAAATGATGTTTAAAAAGAGCAGTGTTGTCATCCTGGCAAATGTGGTCGCTAACCATTATTACTGAGCACTAGCAGGAGATGACGTCTACTAATAATATAATAATAATAATACTAATATCATCTTTATTTACTACAAGTACATGTACAAGGTATACAGTCCTAGCTGACATCAATGACATACTACTATATAGAAAGCCCCTTGTTATGCAGAACATTTCGGACAAATGCTCTTCATCATTATTACAAAAATATATTATTGGTATACATATATCAAAAAAATATCTAATAGCACTTATAATTAATGTGTATTAAGGGCTATTTTACTAATAAAACTTTAAATAAAAAAAAGTTGGTCTCCATGACGTCATAGGGTCACCTCCTGGCAAGGCTCAGGAAATATGATGGTGGGAAGGCGAGAGTAATCGTCTCCACAACTGGCTGTCATCGTTCATTTGCCGCACCTTATTTCAACATGTCTCTCGAGGAATTACAGTTGAAAATTAAGGCGTTAGAGGAGGAACTGAGGCAAGCGAAGCATGGCGGCGCTGCTCCACGGCAGAAGATCACCCACATGTCAGGTGAAGTGGTGGACACTAACCCATACAGGTGAAGCAGCCGCACATATGTTACTTATTGTCCTTCCCTTCTAGGGGAGGTTCTTTGATGATGGATAGGGCTCTTGATCTAGGAAATCGGATCTGTGCTCCAGTTCCCTGAATTGAGCCTTAATACCTTCCATCCTACCCCCCACAGGCGCTGTATAATCCCTACGGGTTTAGCGCTCCTCCATAATATTCCTAGGGAGGTTCCGTGATGATATTGAGGGCTCTTGATCCAAGCAGTTAGGCTTGTCCTCTAATAAATGAAGCTACAAAAAGGAAGGAGAGTGATTTCTTATATACCTAACACTGTGTACCTATTATGTTGCTGATCTTCTCTTTAATGTTAATGTCAATAACTCTTGTTTATTTTATTTCTACTGTATCTCCTTTTATTGTAATTGAATTTCACACAGATGACTTACTTAACTGTTGTAACTTTTAAGGTTATAATCATGACTGGCTCCTGCTGTAACTTACAGCTAGGATTTAAGTAATAGGATATTACAAGGACCCCAGTGGAAATAAGTCATTTTTTTTATTATCCTCGATGGTTTACACTCTGTACAATAATTGTACTTATGTGTACTTGTACCTAAATAAACTTGCTTACTGACTTATAACCTTTATGGGTTTAGTCATTCCCCATAAATATAATATTTATCCTTATTGTCCCCTAGTTCTTTATTTATAAAGGTTTTACAGTATACATATGCAACTGCAATAACTAAGATATTTATATTGAAATTTCAACATGCATAGTCTTCCTAAGTAACATTATATGATGACTTTAGTTGTCAAAAAGCTTTTAAATCCATTAGGATCCCTGGTAACCTATGATAACAAATAACAAAAAAAGGCACAATACCATGACTGGAACGATACACAAATAACCCGCACATAAAAGAGAGAAGCTTACAACGACGTTTCGGTCCGACTTGGACCATTTACAAAGTCACACTAACCAGAAGAGGAGCAGGACGGCTATATATAGGCAGGAAGAGGTGGTGGTAGTAGTAGTAGTAGTAGTACAAGAATGGTACATAATACCGACAAGATGAAATTAAAACACATGCGCAACACCCTTATCTTATTCTCTTGCTTCTTGGCTGGCCAAAACCCTCACTCCCTTTCTTGGTACTTTTTCTCCTGCCCACCTCCGTCACTCTCAAGACTTCATTGAACGGGTTCGCTCTCTCCCAACCTGTAAGATGCTTAGTCTTGACGTTGAGTCCCTCTTCACCAATGTCCCTCTTGATGAAGTCCTTGATTTCCTTAGAGAGAAGGCCCATGAAGGGTTTCTACATCTCCCTATACCTACTGATGTCTTTCTTGATCTTATCCGCCTCTGTGTGGACTCTAACTTCTTTTCCTTCCAAGGGAAATATTATTCTCAAACCTTCGGTGTCGCTATGGGCTCTCCTCTCTCTCCTGTCCTTGCTAATCTTTACATGGAATACTTCGAGACTGTTCTTCTTCCTACCCTCGATGTGCAACCTTCACTCTGGCTCCGCTATGTGGATGACATCTTTGCTCTGTAGCCTCATGACTCCAGTCTTTCCATCCTTTTCTTGAAGCTCTTAATAATCTTGCCCCCTTCCATTAAGTTTAAAGCTGAATGGGAATCTAATTCCTTGCTTCCTTTCCTTGATGTCCATGTCCACCGCTCAGATACAGGTTTTTCCTTTTCCGTTTACCGAAAACCTATGCACAGTGGCATGTACATTCACTATTCCTATCATGCTTCCCCTGTCAAGAAAAGTGTTCTTATCTCCCTCTTTCTCCGTGCCCTCCGCATCTGTGATCCTCAGTTCCTTCCGGCAGAAATTTTCACTCTTCATAATTCGTTTTCCTGTCTTGGCTACCCTTCCCATTTCATAGACTCTTCCCTCTCACGTGCTAAACGTAATTTCTTCTCTCCCAAACACTCTACTCCTGGGAACTCTTCTGTCCTCTGCCTTCCCTACATTTCCGGTCTTTCTAATCTCAACAATTCTCTCCGTCCCTTAGACATCAAGCTTACCTTCCGCCAGACTAACACTCCTCGCGCTAATCTCGTTCATACCTCTCCTCCCTCTACAGATGTTCCTGGTGTCTACTCTATTTCTTGCTCCTCCTGTCCTCTTCAGTACTTTGGAGAAACTGGTCGATCTCTTTCTGACAGACTTAGGGAGCACAAAAATAGTGTTAGGCTTGCCGACACTAACAATGCTCTTTTCTGTCACATCAGAGATCATAGCCATCCTATTGACTGGTCTTCTGCTAAAACTGTCTTCCCTACTTCCAACTCGATCAGTCGTCATCTAGTTGAATCCTCTCTAATTCACAACTTTCCTTGTATGAATCTTAGCCCTGGCTTCGTCTCTGTAGATGCCTTCCTCTCCCACTACATTGTAAAATGCTCCAAACTTCACAACACCCGTGACTTAACCTGACTCCTCATTTTTTCTTTTTCTTCTTCTCCCTCTTCCCCTTTCCTCTTTCCTTTTTCTCCTCTGGGTTGTCTTTCTCTCTTCTGTCTCGTGTTTCTGTTCCTTCTTTATTTCACCACTTCCCCTTTCATGCACCTCTGTGCGCCCTCTCTCCCACTGTGGGCACCTAGCTCTCTTGCAGTGCTCCCCTTCCTTTGTATTTGACTGGCTCGTCCTCCTTATTCCCCACCTCCTCCTCCTCCTCCCCCTCCCCCCTCCCTCCCTCCCTCCCTCCCTCCCTCCCTCCCTCCCCTCCCTCCCTCCCTCCTCCCTCCCTCCCTCCCTCCCTCCCTCCCTCCCTGCCCTGCTGCTGCTGCTGCGCTCCCTGCTGCTGCTGCTGCTGCTGCTGCTGCTGCTGCTGCTGCTGCTGCTGCTGCTGCTGCTGCGGGCTGCTGCTGCTGCTGCTGCTGCTGCTGCTGCTGCTGCTGCTGCTGCTGCTGCTGCTGCTGCTGCTGCTGCTGCTGCTGCTGCTGCTGCTGCTGCTGCTGCTGCTGCTGCTGCTGCTGCTGCTGCTGCTGCTGCTGCTGCTGCTGCTGCTGCTGCTGCTGCTGCTGCTGCTGCTGCTGCTGCTGCTGCTGCTGCTGCTGCTGCTGCTGCTGCTGCTGCTGCTGCTGCTGCTGCGCTGCTGCTGCTGCTGCTGCTGCTGCTGCTGCTGCTGCTGCTGCTGCTCGCTGCTGCTGCTGCTGCTGCTGCTGCTGCTGCTGCTGCTGCTGCGCTGCTGCTGCTGCTGCTGCTGCTGCTGCTGCTGCTGCTGCTGCTGCTGCTGCTGCTGCTGCTGCTGCTGCTGCGCTTGCTGCTGCTGCTGCTGCTGCTGCTGCTGCTGCTGCTGCTGCTGCTGCTGCTGCTGCTGCTGCTGCGCTGCTGCTGCTGCTGCTGCTGCTGCTGCTGCTGCTGCTGCTGCTGCTGCTGCTGCTGCTGCTGCTGCTGCTGCTGCTGCTGCTGCTGCTGCTGCTGCTGCTGCTGCTGCTGCTGCCTGCTGCTGCTGCTGCTGCTGCTGCTGCTGCTGCTGCTGCTGCTGCTGCTGCTGCTGCTGCTGCTGCTGCTGCTGGTGGTGGTGGTGGTACTACCACTGCCTATATATATATATATATATAGCCATCCTGCTCCTCTTCTGGTTAGTGTGACTTTGTAAATGGTCCAAGTCGGACCGAAACGTTGTCGTAAGCTTTTCTCTTTTATGTACGGGTTATTTGTGTAACCTATGATATAACAAACCAACAAATAGGATGATATGCACAGTATTAGGATATTTTACCCAGGAAATATTTTGCCATGAATGGCTTTTTCAGCCCTAGCTAGAGAAGCCATTTGTGGCAAAAAGTTTCCTCGATAAACTATCCTAATACTGCCCATATGTCTTATTTAATATTAGGGATCCTCATTTCAGAATAATAAATGTATAATATTTTTCAGGCTATATACACTTATAGTTTACATTAATTTGTTTTTTAGGGATTAAAAGCTTTCTAGATATTTTATAGGTGGCTTTCAGCCTTAATGACCCATGTGCTGTTAACATGAAAAACGTTTTAAGCATAATATGTTTAACCTATTCAGTAGCATTGATCCTCATTTGTTCATATCTTTAATTTTTCATTAAATTTGTTTATATTAATAAATTATTGTATAAAATATTTTGCCATGTAAAGAATGAGCTTATGTTGAAGTTTTGTATATTGTTGTAATTAACCCGTAAACGGTCCAAGCGTATATAGTATACATTTTTTCAACATTTGAAAGTATGTAAAAAAAGTAGATCTTCTTTTTGTTTTTTTACATTTGAAAATGTGTAAAAAACTTTGATCTACTTTTTTTTTTGTTATATTTGAAAATGTGTAAAAAAATGTAGATCTACTTTTGTAGCAGTACACATGTGAACGTAGATCTGCTTGGACCGTTTACGGGTTAAAAATAACACTTCCACTGCGTCAATTACATTGACATTATCAACATCATGGAAGTCGTATTTACAGTAAGCTCTCTTATAAAGTTCCTTAGTATAGTATAAGTTTTTGTAACTGCAATGGAAAAAGTGCTCCAGAATTAAAAAGCATTCACTATGAGGGCTTTTCCATGTACTTTTCAATTTTAGATGTAAAATCAGGAGATTGAATCATGTGGCAAAAAAATTTACTCATGAATAAAGCTTTTGAATTTGATGTTAATTTAATGAGTGTGAATATTAATTCTAAATAATATATAGTACGTAACTTTATTGCAGTCGATTGATGGCATTGAAGCGTATGGGAATTGTAGAGGATTATGAAAAGATCAGAACTCACACTGTGGCGGTAGTGGGTGTTGGTGGTGTTGGAAGTGTGACGGCAGAAATGCTCACAAGATGTGGCATTGGGAAGGTGAGTGTACCTCATTTTTTTTACTTTAATACATATTTTTTTCCCCAGATCAGTCAGACTTGTAAAGTTATTTATCTTGAGTTAGTTTATGATGTTAGTTGATCACATTCACTTCTTATAAGCTTGATTTTGTTTCAGCTCTTGCTGTTTGACTATGACAAAGTGGAATTGGCGAATATGAACCGCCTGTTTTTCCAGCCACATCAAGCTGGACTGAGTAAAGTGGAGGCAGCAGCTAATACTCTTCACTTCATTAACCCGGATGTGACCTTTGAATCTCATAACTATAACATCACAACTGTTGATAATTTTGATCACTTCATAGATAGAATAAAGTGAGTTAAAATATATAAACTAGCATTTAATAAATACTATAACTACTGTAATTTGCATGATCTTTTATTATTCTTTCTCCATTTTTTTAGATTTCAGGTTCAGAAAGACGATGTTTATTTTTTTTTAATGTTAGTAGCATGACTAGAATTGTGCTGTGCAATATCAGCATTTGACAGTTATGTCTCGGTGCTTCATTGATTTGCTTGTTCATTTTTGTGTATATTCTTGAAGTTCTACTCCAGGTGAAAAAATTGTTGATCTTAGTCACTCTTGGAAACACTGCTAAAGGAATAACATGCCAACCATTTGTTGTGAAAGATTTTTAATGCTGCGAGACCCTGGGAAACATTAGTGCAGCCAGGATTAATATCAGTGGGGAGGGAGGGAGGGGGGAGGCTTAAAATGATAAGATGCTGAAAACAAAAGAAATTGTTTTTAAAAGTACATTTCCTTAATCTTTCAGATTTTTGTGCTCACTGGTTAATATAATGCATTGAAAATTAGCCATTAAATGAAAAAAAATTGATTGATTATATTTCAGAGTTTCTTGTATTTCCAGGCTGTATTGCTTGGGACAAATACTGTGTACAACAAATAGTTTTCTTTTAACATATTCTTGTGCAGTTCTCTTTTTGATATTGAAACAGTGCAATCATTATCTTTAAGATGCACTGCATTTGATGTGTTAAAGAAGCTAGTATGGTAGTCAGATTATTTTAACAAATACATACAGTATTAAATTATAATGCCAATTCTCTGTTCATTTAAATAAGGTCAAGCTTTTTGTATTTTTTGTGTGCATGTTTCTTTTTACAGACAGTTTTTACAGATTTCTATTTTAAAGCTAGGAATAAAAATAAAACTCAAAATTTGACATGGGAATAACCTATGAAAACATTACATTAATGAAGCATAGAGACTTATCTAAATGATAGTAAAATAAGATTAAATTTCATGAAAAGTTTAATTCTTGGGCAACATTCAAAACCTTTCAATGAAATTTGAAAATGTCTTTCATTAATAAAGTGTGAAAGACTAGATATAGTAGTTCAAATATAATTAAAAAATAAAGGCCAGTTTTTTAGAAATTGTAATCCTGAGCCAAACACTTCCAAATATCAAAGGAAACAACTATAAATGGAAAAATGTTTACATCAGCAGCAATAAAAAAATTAAATTTTGTTGTAATATTATTTTAAAATAGAAATACAGTAGTAACATTAGTAAGGCTGTACAGCAAAACTAAAAGAAGTCTGGCCTAATTTAAATGTTAGGATAAATTGCAAAAAAGTGAGCAATATATATTACTAGCTAAATAAAAAATATTATTCACTCAGGTGTGGCAGTCTAACAGGAGGTCCAGTCGATCTTGTTTTAAGTTGCGTTGATAATTATGAGGCTCGTATGGCTGTTAACCGTGCCTGCAACGAGCTGGGACAGTCATGGTTCGAGTCTGGGGTAGCCGAAAATGCTGTTTCCGGACACATACAATTCCTTATTCCAGGAGAGAGTGCATGTTTTGATGTAAGTATTTTAATGAATATGTTATGTTGCTTGCCATAGATATACAAAGTATGAGTTTGGTAAAATAAAGTTTTACTGAATTGAAAGTCTATAGTTAAAATAAATGTTTTGTTTGTAATAATGAGATACAGAGGTACACAAGGTAAAGTATTTAAATGGTGCAGAAACAACCTGTTTCTTTGATGTTTTGGAAAAAGGCAGGATTGTATAAAGAATAGCCCCCCAAAAAAGTCTTGAGCTTGTAGTATGGAATAAATTCACAATACAGTGGAACCCTGAATATGGGCCGTAACCCATTCCAGAAGGTCAGCCTAAATTCAAAAAGGCCTAAATTCGAAGCAATATTTCTGACAAGAATTAATGTAAATAAAGTAGGTTGGTAGACAGCAACCACCCAGGGAGGTACTACCGTCCTGCCAAGTGAGTGTAAAACGAAAGCCTGTGATTGTTTTACATGATGGTAGGATTGCTGATGTCTTTTGTCTGTCTCATAAATATGCAAGATTACAGGTATGTCTTGCTACTTCTACTTACACTTAGGTCACACTACACATACATGTACACATTTATTTATACACACTCATCTGAGTTTTCTTTGATTTTATCTTAATAGTTCTTGGTCTTATTACTTTTCCTTTTATATCCATGGGGAAGTGGAATAAGAATCTTTCCTCCGTAAGCCATGCGTGTTGTAAAAGTCAACTAAAATGCCGGGAACAATGGGCTAGTAACCCCTTTTCCTGTAAAGATTACTAAAAAGAATAAGAAGAAAATTGTCAAAGTGGGAAGTCTGAATGTGCGTGGATGTTGTGCAGATGATAAGAAAGAGATGATTGTGGATGTTATGAATGAGAAGAAGCTGGATGTCCTGGCTTTAAGTGAAACAAAGCTGAAGGGGGTGGGAGAGTTTCAGTGGAGAGGAATAAATGGGATTAAGTCAGGGGTTTCAAATAGAGTTAGAGCTAAAGAAGGAGTAGCAATAATGTTGAAGGATAAGCTATGGCAGGAAAAGAGGGATTATAAATGTATTAATTCAAGGATTATGTGGAGTAAAATAAAGATTGGATGTGAAAAGTGGGTTATAATAAGCGTGTATACACCTGGAGAAGAGAGAAGTGTAGAGGAGAGAGAGATTTTGGGAAATGTTGAGTGAATGGGTGGGGAGTTTTGAATCAAGTGTGAGAGTAATGGTGGTTGGGGATTTCAATGCTAAAGTGGGTAAAAATGTTATGGAGGGAGTAGTACGTAAATTCGGGGTGCCAGGGGTAAATGTAAATGGGGAGCCTTTAATTGAGCTATGTGTTGAAAGAGATTTGGTAATAAGTAATACATGTTTTATGAAAAAGAGGATAAATAAATATACAAGGTATGATGTAGCACGTAATGAAAGTAGTTTATTAGATTATGTATTGGTGGATAAAAGGTTGATGGGTAGACTCCAGGATGTACATGTTTATAGAGGGGCAACTGATATATCGGATCATTATTTAGTTGTAGCTACAGTTAGAGTAAGAGGTAGATGGGAAAAGAGGAAGGTGGCAAGAACAAGTAAGAGGGAGGTGAAAGTGTATAAACTAAGGGAGGAGGAAGTTCGGGTGAGATATAAGCGACTATTGGCAGAAAGGTGGGCTAGTGCAAAGATGAGTAGTGGGGGGGTTGAAGAGGGTTGGAATAGTTTTTAAAAATGCAGTATTAGAATGTGGGGCAGAAGTTTGTGGTTATAGGAGGGTGGGGGCAGGAGGAAAGAGGAGTGATTGGTGGAATGATGAAGTAAAGGGTGTGATAAAAGAGAAAAAGGTAGCTTATGAGAGGTTTTTACAAAGCAGAAGTGTTATAAGAAGAGCAGAGTATATGGAGAGTAAAAGAAAGGTAAAGAGAGTGGTGAGAGAGAGCAAAAGGAGAGCAGATGATAGAGTGGGAGAGGCACTGTCAAGAAATTTTAATGAAAATAAGAAAAAATTTTGGAGTGAGTTAAACAAGTTAAGAAAGCCTAGGGAAAGTATGGATTTGTCAGTTAAAAACAGAGTAGGGGAGTTAGTAGATGGGGAGATGGAGGTATTAGGTAGATGGCGAGAATATTTTGAGGAACTTTTAAATGTTAAGGAAGAAACAGAGGCAGTAATTTCATGCACTGGTCAGGGAGGTATACCATCTTTTAGGAGTGAAGAAGAGCAGAATGTAAGTGTGGGGGAGGTACGTGAGGCATTACATAAAATGAAAGGGGGTAAAGCAGCTGGAACTGATGGGATCATGACAGAAATGTTAAAAGCAGGGGGGGATATAGTGTTGGAGTGGTTGGTACTTTTGTTTAATAAATGTATGAAAGAGGGGAAGGTACCTAGGGATTGGCGGAGAGCATGTATAGTCCCTTTATATAAAGGGAAAGGGGACAAAAGAGACTGTAAAAATTATAGAGGAATAAGTTTACTGAGTATACCAGGAAAAATGTACGGTAGGGTTATAATTGAAAGAATTAGAGGTAAGACAGAATGTAGGATTGTGGATGAGCAAGGAGGTTTCAGAGTGGGTAGGGGATGTGTAGATCAAGTGTTTACATTGAAGCATATATGTGAACAGTATTTAGATAAAGGTAGGGAAGTTTTTATTGCATTTATGGATTTAGAAAAGGCATATGATAGAGTGGATAGAGGAGCAATGTGGCAGATGTTGCAAGTATATGGAATAGGTGGTAAGTTATTAAATGCTGTAAAGAGTTTTTATGAGGATAGTGAGGCTTGGGTTAGGGTGTGTAGAAGAGAGGGAGACTACTTCCCGGTAAAAGTAGGTCTTAGACAGGGATGTGTAATGTCACCATGGTTGTTTAATATATTTATAGAGGGGGTTGTAAAGGAAGTAAATGCTAGGGTGTTCGGGAGAGGGGTGGAATTAAATTTTGGGGAATCGAATTCAAAATGGGAATTGACACAGTTACTTTTTGCTAATGATACTGTGCTTATGGGAGATTCTAAAGAAAAATTGCAAAGGTTAGTGGATGAGTTTGGGAATGTGTGTAAAGGTAGAAAGTTGAAAGTGAACATAGAAAAGAGTAAGGTGATGAGGGTGTCAAATGAGTTAGATAAAGAAAAATTGGATATCAAATTGGGGAGGAGGAGTATATGAAGAAGTGAATGTTTTAAAGATACTTGGAGTTGACGTGTCGGCGGATGGATTTATGAAGGATGAGGTTAATCATAGAATTGATGAGGGAAAAAAGGTGAGTGGTGCATTGAGGTATATGTGGAGTCAAAAACGTTATCTATGGAGGCAAAGAAGGGAATGTATGAAAGTATAGTAGTACCAACACTCTTATATGGGTGTGAAGCTCGGGTGGTAAAATGCAGCAGCGAGGAGACGGTTGGAGGCAGTGGAGATGTCCTGTTTAAGGGCAATGTGTGGTGTAAAATATTATGCAGATAATTCGGAGTGTGGAAATTAGGAAAAGGTGTGGAGTTAATAAAAGTATTAGTCAGACGGCATAAGAGGGGTTGTTGAGGTGGTTTGGTCATTTAGAGAGAATGGATCAAAGTAGAATAAACATGGAAAGCATATAAATCTATAGGGGAAGGAAGGCGGGGTAGGGGTCGTCCTCGAAAGGGTTGGAGAGAGGGGGTAAAGGAGGTTTTTTGGTGGGCAAGGGGCTTGGACTTCCAGCAAGCGTGTGTGAGCGTGTAGATAGGAGTGAATGGAGACGAATGGTACTTGGGACCTGACGATCTGTTGGAGTGTGAGCAGGTAATATTTAGTGAAGGGATTCAGGGAAACCGGTTATTTTCATATAGTCGGACTTGAGTCCTGGAAATGGGAAGTACAATGCCTGCACTTTAAAGGAGGGGTTTGGGATATTGGCAGTTTGGAGGGATATGTTGTGTATCTTTATATGTGTATGCTTCTAAACTGTTGTATTCTGAGCACCTCTGCAAAAACAGTGATAATGTGTGAGTGTGGTGAAAGTGTTGAATGATGATGAAAGTATTTTCTTTTTGGGGATTTTCTTTCTTTTTTGGGTCACCCTGCCTCGGTGGGAGACGACCAACTTGTTGAAAAAAAAAAAAATAATTAATCCATTCCAGACACCGAAAAATATTAACAAAAAATACATTTTTTAAAGATTAATTATAGTTTTACATACACAAAACAATGAGAACTAAATAAAATAAATAAATGAACATTTAAATCACTATTACATACCTTTATTGAAGACTCTTGTTGGCTTATGGAAGACAGGGAGAGGGAGAGAGGGAAGGGTTATCCCCCTCCATAAGGACTTAAGGTATCAAAGCCCTCTCTGAGGTTACTTCCCTCCCTGCATGCCTGATACACTCCCTGCCTCCCTTCCACACTCCCTGTTTCACTGCTACACTCCCTGCCTCCCTGCTACACTCCCTCCCTCCATGATACACTCCCTGCCTCCCTTCCACACTACTTGCTTCTCTGCTACACTCCCTGTCTGCCTGTTACTCACTGCCTCCCTGCTACTCTCCCTCCCTCCATGCTACACTTCCTCCCTCCATGCTACACTCCCTCCCTCCATGCTACACTCCCTCCCTCCATGCTACACTCCCTCCCTCCATGCTACACTCCCTCCCTCCATGCTACACTCCCTCCCTCCCTTCCACAGCATATGTGTAAAGTGCCTAGGATAACCCAAAAAAGTCAGTGACTTATTTCCATTGGGGTCCTGCCTCCCTGCTACACTCCCTGCCTGCCTGCCTGCTACACTCCCTGCCTGCCTGCCTGCCTGCTACACTCTCTGCCTGCCTGCCTGCTACACTCCCTGCCTGCCTGCCTGCCTGCCTGCCTGCCTGCCTGCCTGCCTGCCTGCCTGCCTGCCTGCCTGCCTGCCTGCTACACTCCCTGCCTTCCTGCTAAACTCCCTTTTGCAACATTAGCTTCCTTGATTTCTACTTTCTTTGCCAGGATGGAAGTGATTGTTGATTTGGATTTCACATACATCTTGGCAAGTTCTAGCACTCAAACACCACTCTCCTATTTTTCAATAA